ATTGTATCAAAGACGGGTCCTGACACACTTTTTGCTGCTGTGGTGCGAATTCAGTCCTAGCCTTAGATACGCAAGCATAGCAAAACAGTTTTTGGGGCTATTTGTTAGGGTTTCGAGTCTGGGTGAGAGCGATCCTCCCTTGCAGGGGGCTCAAACGACTTTGGAAAGATTCAGAGGCGGAAAGCGAGGAAGTGCGGTGGGGCGGAAAAGGAGAGACTTAATATATACCAAATTTACCTTAGTTATAAAAGGTCAAACGTTTCATGATAAGATTTAAGTGAAATCGATGTGATTAAATAAGCATCGGGCTGGTTACCGAAAATCCTATGTTTTTCGTACTTTTGATTTTTACCAACCTATAGGTTTCACTAAAATTTATCGGTCAAGGGAGGTTTAAAAACAAACTAGATTGTTTCACTTGCTCAACCCTGACCCGCAAAGGTGTAGCTACACATTTTTGCTCAACAATTTGGCGTGTGAAGCATTAGGTTGTGTTTGCTGTTTCATTATTCGTAGTCGGATGGATGTCAGAGTTAGAAAATCACTCTCAGTGTACCCGCTCGATCAGCATTTGGCCTGGCGTCGAAAGGATGATCTGAATTGGAGGAGACTGTTGGTCCTGCTTGCACATGTGCATATTCTTGGCTCGGATTCAGGCATGAATACTCCGGCGGCACTTGTTGCCTTGCCTACTCAATAGGCTGCCTAACCCCAAAACTTTGGAATCGTAAGCAGGTTTTGTGTACATGTTGTAGTGCGATAAGATACGTCCAGGTGCCCAATTTTATTTATGAGGTTACCAGAATAATCAAAGGTATGAAGACCAAGATGGTGTGGCCTTTTGTGTGGTCGCAGAATAATGTTCAATGTTTTCTCACATCAGTCGGGAGCTCCCGTATCTTGATCTTGCCTCGAAGACAAAGTAACTCATATGGTCCTGTCTACTTTTAAATGCCCTACTAGTTTCTGTAATTCCTTGGCCTTTTAAATGAAATTCCTTCAGATTTAATTAGTGCATGTAATCGGACGACCTAGCATTCAAGTGATTATTAAAGTCATTACCATAATCATTTAATGTCCAGACGCCTGCAAAAGCACCAGTTCCGGGGGATTTCGCTTTATCTTCAGACCCTCATCTATTAAATTGGCAACATGCTACCACGTAATCAGCTTAAGGTTGCGCCACAACTGGAATTTGTATTAATTCTTTTTTCCTCTGCTTTTACTCCCATCTCAATTTGTTAAGAAAATTGATTTCTGTCAGAAGACCATTCTTGTGAGGACCAAACTAGTGCTCGATTTTTCTGGAAAACTTGGCCTCAGAATATTTTCATTATCATAAATCCATTGTTCTGATCCTTGATAATGGTCCCATACTAAAAATGTGGAAGTATATATTTGATCTCATGAGCCGCCTTACCAAGGCCAAATAATTCAAGTTTGTTTGAGATCCTAACTGGAAGGAAAGGACTTTTTGGCCAATTCGAGTACTACTATCTTTATTAAATGCCTATAGGAAGCGGTCGAATGTAATATGTGTCCAATTTCAAGCCGACTGGCGGAGTTATGCCTGAATTTAGGCATAAATGAGAAACCACATACCTAGTCTATCTTGCCCATATACCGAAATACAGATGTTCTGACTTTCCAATTAGCTCTTATGGCTTAATTAATCAAATTGGAATCACATGAGACGTCTTGACAACAAACATTGTCTGCCAGTGATGAGGTGTTTTGTCGTATAGAAGAAGCAACGGATGAAAAGTAACGGATTCGATTCGCTGAAAGGTAACGTTTTATTACTTGTATCCATTTCAGGGCCATGAAATGAATGACCTTCGCTTTATGCACGTTAGTGGATAGAATGGCCCGAGACAAATTTGGTCGATTCAACTCTACAGACATTTGTTGAAGGTTGAGTTGTCAGTTTGATAAAAATGTAGCACCTCGGTTGCAAAATTGCCGAAGAGGAAGATGAAGTCATAGTCGTTCGGCGACTCGAGTCTAATTGCGTTTGAAGCCATGAATTTCCTCGTTGAGATTTATTGAGCCTGAACCCCGTCAACGCTGTTTCTACATCCTAACATCATATTGAATTACAATGTCCTAAAGCAGACTGCTTTTTGAAGATAATTATAATAAATATTATTATTAATGGTAGTAAATTTACACAATCTTGAATAATATCGATCGATACAATTATATTCACCAGAAATAAATGTATCATTATTCTTTTATAAAGTTATAAAGTTCGGAATTTCGAAGTGTTACATGGAATCAACACTTCGATAGTCTAATATAGATTCTAAACATTGGCTGCTATAACTACTTAGGCTCAGTTGTGGCTCGTCTGCTTTGATTAGGTCATAGCTGTAGGCCACTGTATTTTAGTGGCCTTAAGCTCGTGGCATATTTCAAACTTATCCTGGAATTTGAACTTTTTTCACCCTTATATGTTGTAGGATTTAATGTTACAAAGGGAATCAGTATTTAAAACTTGCTAAAATTTTGATGCCTGCCAATTATGGACCGTCGTTTCCCTTGAAAGGGATTATAAATAAAAGTGGTATATGCGTGGCATTCAGTTGTTTACAGTCTTCTGATACAATCGCAACTTATTGATATGATTGATAGTTAAATGAATTTTGAATACTTCCGTGAAATCTCAAGAGTTGCGAGCTGCTTTCTACGATCAAACTTGGTTATGTTGCATTTTGTATAAGAGAAACAATATGTGAAATTCGATGGAAACATCAGCTCTACTCATATCATTGTGGGAAAATTCTACTACCGGTCCTTCCTCACCTTAAACGAAATAAGGTGAATACATATCATATAACTTATTTACTGGTAGTCTCGAAACGCTGCTTATATACGAAAAATAATTTTAAAGTAATATTTTTCTTTGACAGGCGTGCATTCCTCTAATCCTCTCCTCCCGGCAGCCTTGAGGAGAAGGTTGCCGGGGACAGTTGGCACCTGCTGGGCAGCCGCTCACTGTGGCACGATTGACATCTTCGATTGTTGCATTTCTAGGCACCCGATCTGGGCAAACATGGGGGTACACTTTCAGCCAGAATTATGCTATAACCACGGTATTTGGTGATTCTGTGGACAGCCTGTTAGAAGCGAAAGTATGCCCTGGAGGAAATTGGAATGTAATCATCATTCGAGCCTGCAGGTATCGATGGCCTCTGTGGCCAACTCGGGGACCGGAATGGTCTGATCAATGCTGTTGCCGCGACAACCGGCTCGGGGTTGAAAATGAAACGGTGTATATCTGATGCGTATGCAGGCGTGCGTTTGCGTTGGGTTGTGTATGTCGGTTGTTCCTTTTGTGCTGAGGCCCGGCTACGAGCAGTCTGAAGGTGAGGCGAGAGAGGAAGAGAGAGGGAGAGAGAGCGGGGACGTTGTAGATGGGCTGGAGACGAGGTGGTAACCTCACCCTCGTGGTGCCAGCTTCAAGGTACGGGGTACTTGGGGACGCGTGATGATTGTCCCCTCGGGGTAAAATGGGTCACCTCAGTCGGCCCTGGGCTCTGTTTTTGTGTCGCCGTTGCCACAGCCCTCGTTCTCTCTTGCCTTTCCAATGCCTCCCTCCTACTTGTGGTCCCGGGTCGAGGCCGAATGGGCGTCTGAAGATGAGGCGCTGGGCCGTTAGCCCAAAAGTGTGCGTGAACGCACGTGAAAAGGCGTGTCCACAACATGAGTGCACGATTCGAGCGGAGGCAACGAATTGCGCAGACTGGCCTGGTTAAGAGTGGTTCATGCAGCTTGGGCGACTGGGGCAGGGCAGAGAGAGTGAGTAAACGAGAGAGCGAGAAAGTGGGGCTGGAGGATATCGAGAACAGGGGAGAGAGAAGACTGGGCAGAGCTGGGCAGAGAGGGCAGGAGGGAGCGAGAGGCAGCGTCAGACGCATAGTGGCTGGTGCAAAGCGGAGGCTCGTCTGCAAAGCACCGCCTCTTGGAGCCTGAGGCGAAACCGAGTGCCTTTGTCTGGCAGACGGCCCGATTGTCCGACTGTCGACAGACCGGTCATCATCGACCCTGTCCGCCAGCACCGACCCATTAGGCTATGATTTCAGACAGCCACAGTCGAAGAAGGCACCAAAGGCAGGGTTCGACTGATGGCTGCATGAGACGTCGAAATTCAACTTCGACAACAGAATTGACATCAACATTGGCACCATAGACAAACCTATTGGCATCGATACAGTCTCTGAATCAGCATAAGTATCATCATCGAAATTGGCATCACCGTCTACATCGATATCTGCATTGGCATCGAACTCGGCACAGGAGTAGAATGGGCATGGGTACCATCAGCGAAATCACAAATAGCATCTTCAAATACATCAGCATTTGCATTAGCATCGACTTCAGTATCGACTTCGGTAACGCATCTGGGCACAGGTATAGTCTTCGAAATTGGCAATAGCCTATACATTGGCATCAGCATCGGTAACAGCATGATTATCATCCTAGGAAATGTTAGTGTTCGAGAAATCTCTTGGTTAATAAATGCTGAGCGGTGTGAAGAATACGACAACGGATTCCTTTTGGCTATGTGCCATTTGGCTTTGTTGGAATATTCTCTTTGTTTCACTTCATCGTTTCTGAAGATTGTTCTGGGCACAGCATTAACAACAATGTTCCAGTTAAGCGAACCGTCAGCTCGGCAAGAGGAGACCGTCTTCGTCTTCTGATGTGATCGACCTTCGAATCTCTTAATCACCCACTTTCATTCGAAATGAAAGTCAGCTCAACAATAAGTATCATTATCGAAGTCGGCATCGACATCAGAATTGGCATCGTCATCCATATCGACATCGATACCGCGTCAAAATCGGCATCTTCATCATCATCATTATCAACGTTGTTTCGAAGTCGGCATCGGCAATTACATCTTCACAGGTACAGCATCAATATCGACCTAAGTATGGGAATTAGGATCCTTTTTCATATGAAAATCAGAATTAGGCATCGGCATCGACGCTGTAAATAAATTTTACATCTGCACCCACATCAGCATCCATGTCAAAATCAGTATGGCATTGAAGTTTGCATTAGAATTGATATAGATATTTATTACAGCATAAATTGCCTCTAAGACGCACAATCTTCTGTCCTGGTTTAACCTCTGTCGGACTGATTGTTCGCTTTCACCGTTGGCCTTCGCCTCTCTTACGTTGCAGTCGAGATTCGTCTTATGTTGGTCCTATTTGCCAGAACCATCTTAACATATGCCACAACTGGTGAACAAAAAATTGGAATTTGACAAGGCTTTCGATAGCGCCTTTTACGGATGATTCCGACTATGAAGCCAGTTAAACTTCTGGCAAGTTAACGGTACCATGTCAATGGTCCGATCTCAGAGGGCGCGTTACTAGGTACGTTCTACAAGGTCTCCCTGTCGCTCCGAGCAAGTTGCAAAGATGAGGTCAAACCTTACCTAGACAGCTATAAGAGATCGCGACCAAACAGAAGGCCATACCATCTTGGTCTTCATATCTACAAAACATATATCGCCCAGTTCACGGCTATATAGTGACATTGTTATAAGGCAATTTTTGATAATATTATAGTTTAAGAAAGTAGTCTTAAAAATAATTTGCCTTAAGAACCCTTGCCTTATCATCTAATTTCTTAGCTTAATTTTGAGTGCAAATGCTTGACTAAGAGATTTGTAAGATGTTCACACCAGATGAGCTCATTTGGTCCCTCTTGGCTCACTGTAGTTTAGTTTCACTAACACCTTTTTGTTAAAGTAGTCATTTAGCTAAACTTCTTAGAATTCGGGGAAAACGAACAACTCGAGTTATTAGCCTGATGTAAATGTTAAAGTGCTACCTATCTATGGCGATATCTGTAAGGCAACATGACTAGCCAAAGTTGATCCATTTCTCACCAGAACCGAACAAGGTCGACATAATATAATATCTTCAGCGCCCAGTTTCACTAAAAATGCAAATAATACCGTCATCGAGTAACTCCATCCATAGTGGCTCGAGTTATTATTTCGAATCTTCGTATGGTTACGAAACCAGCTTACAAAGTAGCTGGTGGGGTTATCGATGGCAATGTAAAATACGAGTTTGCATCACTAAAAATACTGCAAGGCTGGAGTTCAAAGTTAAACTTGTCCCATACCAAATTGCCTGGTGGCTGTGTGGTAAAGTAGTTACGACTTAAGGGGTCTCATGCTCATGTTAAAGGTATACTGGTAGTTTTTAACCAGATCTTCTGGAAAAAGTCTCCTCACCTACTAGAGCTTCTACGAAAGACAGTAAGGCAGGAAAAAGAGCCTTATTAAAGAAATTACTCCATCACTGACTGGCCAAGTTTAGGTTAGCTCAGCAAGAATCGGTTTGGGCATATAAAAAGTGTCTCCATAAGCTTTTTGCTCCTTTTAGCAGCAAAGTTGCAAGTGGGGTCACCTTCTCTGTAGGTAGATTGAAGTTAGAGGAAAGCTAGTTTAAGGTAAAAATACCGATGCAGACCCTTTGACAGTTTCAACTTGACTTTATAGAAGCCTCAGTCGTTTTGACAGGTGCAGTCTGTTGGGCGGTCAACGAACTAAAATTAGATGGGCTTGGCCGTAGTAAACCTTTTTAAGTCAGAAACATAGCGGAAGGAACTAAAGTGAAAAGGATAGGAGCAAAGTGAAGGCCAATTGGGGTCGTGACAACGAAGACGAATAAAGAGATTTTCCAAATTAGAACGGGTTGCGGCGCTTCTGTAAGCCCTCTTAGGCCTTTAGATGGTCTCTGGGCCACTGAGATGAGGCTGCCGAGGAAAGCCGATAAAACAACACGTGGCTGGCTGCCAGCAAGGCAACCGACCAAATCAACCCTAAATAAGACTTCGAAGTAAAAATATCCTATCTTTCCAAGGTCTACGAGCCACAGCTGCGCATCGGATACAACGCTATTATACCAAACCTTGTCGAGGATATCAAAATCTTGTTGGATTTATTTGAATAACCTATCGCTGAGCAAGCAAGTTTCTGAATAGCTGTGAAGACGGATGCAAATATGCTCTGGCTGGAAGATCGGCCAAAGCCAATGATTTCTTGATAGGGGTTAAGCCGCCTGCAAAAAGGAGGCGACGCAACTAG